CCACTCAACCACAGGGCTCAAGTGCTGGTCTCCACAGGAAGTTTCCCTATTTTAGAAGTAAGCAAAGGACAACAAATTAGTTCCAGTGCAGAGTTTAAGTGGTGTGGGTAGCTAATAATCCAACACAGAAGTGAAAGAAAACACAAAATACCCACAGATCAGAGACAAAGTTCTAATATGAACCAGTAAAGGTCTAACACCACCAAAGAACACCTATAAAACCTACAAGGACCAGGAAGCCCCCAGGCTGCCAAGCCGGGGTGGGGGGAGGGCCAAGCACCTCAGCTATGCCCCCTGAAGGCCACATCCAGCCCAGCCACCACCAAGCTGCTGCCAGAAGCCCCATGAGCTCCCCTGCTGGAATGAGGGGGATGCCACGAGCCTGGACCGTGCCCCCGCTTCTTCCTCCTCCCACCTTTCCTCCTCCCCTTTCTCCTCTCCTCCTCCCTCCCAACTGCTCCATAACATAATGTAAAAAAATAAATAAGTTTACCTGTAGTAATTTGGTTACATGGAGGTTGGTTAAGAGAGTGTCTATACTTTTTTGGAGTTTCTGCTTTTTGTACAGTGTGTATCATCAGTCTGCTATGATTACCATAACAAAATACCATAGACTCGGTGGCTTAAACAATAGAAATTAATTTTCTCATGGTTCTGGAGGCTTGAAGATCAAGGTGCTGGAGGGTTGATTTCTGGCAAGGCTTCTCTTTCTGCCTTGCAGGTGGCTGCTTTCTCCATGTGTCCTCACTCGACCTTTCCCAGAGGGTGGGCAGAGAGATCTCTGGAGTCGCTTCCTCTTCTTTTTTTGTTGTTGTTGCTGAAAGATTTATTTATTTATTATTATTTTTCATTTAAACACACAAAAGATTAACATACTTATTGCAAAAGGAACTCTTTTTAGAAATGAATTATAAAAATATAGGCAGAAACTTGGTGAAGGACATGAGCAGAAAGTCACACACCCCAAAGAAACACATGTGGTTAATAAGTACATTCTAGGATCTGGTTGCAGGTGGGGGCAGGGCTGGTCTGGCCACCATATCGGGATCCTGGGCGTCAGCTGGTTCCTTGGCTGGTCTGGATATATGGTGGGGGAAGGGCTAAGGCCCATGGCTCCTGTCTCCCAGGACCCCTCAGGCATTGAGCTGGCTCTGTTGCTGGCCTGGATGGGTGGTGGCAGGGGCCGGGCTAGGGTCCACAGCCCCTGTCTCCCAGGACCCCCTGGGTGTCCCTCTTCCTCTTCTAATAAGGACACCAGTCTTATTGGATTAGGGCCCCACTATGACTTCATTCAACCTTAATCACCTCCTTAAAGGTCCTATCTCCAAACGTAGCCACATTGAGCATTAGGGCTTCAACATATGAATTCTGGGAGGGGGAGGCATAATTCA